ATGATGTGGTAGATAGGTTCATAGGTTCTTTCAAAAAGGAATGACTCATAACTGACCCTGAAGGGCGGGGGGAAACCTGGTGAACTCAAGTAGTCAGAGGGAGACCATGACCTTGGTTGCCCCCCAGAGGACATAATTATAATTCAGACTGGCTTTGTTTTCTATTTCCTGCTGCAAGTGAGGGCAGTGTTGTGTGTGTGTGCGTCTTGGGTTGAACTGGGATGGGATGGAACTTGTAGAAGCAGCTGTGGGCTAAAAGAAGGGGAAGTACTCCAGTCTGGGCTGTATGTCAGGCTGCCAGGCCCTTGCCCAGGAAGCTAACTAGCAGCAAAGATATCTTAGGAAAATGAGCATCGTGATGAACAGTTATTTACCCGTCTGGCGCCTTTCTTAGTAGAATAATGCATTGAACCCATGCCTCATAACATCCTCCTGAAGAAAGGAAGAGACAGATAGTGTTAAACGTTACTGGTTAATCATGGGGAAACTGAAGCATGGATAGGTTTATGAGGCTTGGGCAGAGCTACACAATGCCTTAGTGTCTGGCCTGGGAATGAAGCCCGAGTTTGCCGCTTGCTGTCAGGACTGCCCGACGGCATTGTGTTTCTCATTGAACAGCGGTGAAAAGGGCTGACTCTCAACAATGCAGGAGCTGCTATAGGAGACAAACACAATGAACTTTGGTACAGTATAGTCTAGAGGCCAAAATGAGTAATTTTAAGTAAATTGACTATAAGATCCAAAGCCTCAGTAAGTTTTTAAACAAAACCAGGGGGAAAAAAAAAGAAAACTCTGTACAGCTTTTCGGAACTGACTCAAACACCACGAACACCCTCCTCCCTCCCACCATTTGAAATGATATACTCTTAAAAGTTTTATTTTGTTGGCTCAAAGTCTGACACTTTTCCCATTTGCCATGGGATGTATTTATTTACTTCAAATACATTTTTACTTTCAGGATTCTGTAGTTTATCTCAAAGATTCTGCCTCGTAATAATGTCAGTGTTGCATTTATTTTCCCAAATGCCTTATTTCCATAGCCTGAGTTTTGGGGGTAGACTTTTAGTTTGCTCAGATTTAGTTTGGGGTCTTCAAAAACAGTTGGAACTACAGAGACTGGAATTCAGGAAAGCGGTGAACCTGTGCCAGGGGAGTTGCCATGTTTGGTGTCTTTGCATTCTGTGCAACTAGAACCAGGGGGGTACAGGTGACAGTCCTGGGAAGTATGTAGAAAAAGTAGAGAAGTTGAATGTCATTGCTAAATTGTGTGTTCTGTCAGAAGTGTCTCCGGGGTCCTGGAATAAGTTAACAGGTGATGATTAATGGATTTGGGTACAGAATTTTTTACACTCCAGGTATCAAGAACAATATGAAGATGGAATTGTAGAACTTTGGGCTAAAATATGTTGAATAATATTGGTGTATGAATGATTTGTAAATAATTTGAACAGGGCAATAAAAGCAATCAGCTACATATAATTTCATTTTGTATTTAGGATTTATAGTAATTTGGATCACAGTAGTTGGGTCCATCCCCCTCTAAGAGACAGTCCATAGGAACTCTGGCACTGGAGCTAAGCAGCAGCGGGCATCTCTAGAGCTGGAATAGGATCTCTCCCTGCTTCCTTCAGCAGAGACTGAAGCAGCCCAGCTATAGAAACAGATGTGAGCAGTGTGTGCCATCATAGCAGAGCACAGATGACCTCTGCGGCGTAGTGTGATCAGCTGTGAGTCAGGGGCCGACTTCAAGGAGGTACATACACATACATACATAGGACTCTCATCAAGAGTCTGGGAGACTTGAGGAAAAGTTTGCAAAAGTGAAACAATATCAGCTAGCTTTCTTGCAAATCTAGGATGGGACGTGTTGTGTTGGCATCGAGAAGGCTATTTATAGCTGCAGTCACAAATCTCGTAGGGGAACACTTAATGGAACTAAAACATGGCCAAAGAAGAGCAACTGACACAAGGAGTGGGAGGAGTTGCTATATGAAGGCAGACTGAAATAATTAAGACTCCACAGGCTTGAAAAGACTGAGAGGAAATGGGATTAGAGTTTAATAAATCCATGTAGAATATGGATTATTAAATATTGTTTACCAGAAGTCAGCAGAACTTCTTTAAAACTGAGGGAAAATGAATTTAGGTCAAAAAGCAGCTCTCCTCTTTCGAGAATAGATCCTGTACATCAAAACCTTTCTTTTGGAAATGAGGCTAACTTCTGGCATTGAAGTGAAAGGAGAAAGTCACAGGTTTCTCTTGGTTTTACACCATTTTGCTCAAGCATGGGTGACCCAGTGGCTGTGGATCAGACATCCTATTGGGTTTCATGCTTCCTTTTTGCTTTTCTTAGGTGAAACTTTAACTGTCATTTTTTTTCTTTAACCCTTCTTTATTGAGGTGAGATCTACACTCACCTCAATAAAGGCCACTAGGGTTACTGGGATGGAGATGGACAGATGTGGTTTACTGGGATGGAGATGGACAGATGTGGTTCCCATAGTGTAATAATTATTAAGAAACCGGGCTCAGGGTATCGCGATGTTTCTCGCGAAACCTATAACACTAATTTTCTTCCGCCAGCAGGCTAAGTAGTCCCAAAGGTAACTTGTTCCATGCATAAATAAACCCTAGGAACCTCTGTCTGCTCTGGGTTTCTTTGGAAACGCTAAGTAATCAAGAAATTTTTGGAAGTGGTTTTCCGTTCTTGATACTACGGGTTTTCCCCTGTGAGCGTAGGGATCTTGCGCTATATAAGAGGTCCGGCCGGATGTGACGTGCTCTCCCGGGTCCTGGCTTCCAAGATGACCGAAAAAAGAAGGAATAATGGTCATGTGAAAAAGGGCCCTGGGCATGTGCAGCCTATTCGTTGCACAAACTATGCCAGGTGTGTGCCCAAGGACAAGGCCATTAAGAAGTTCCTCATTGGAAACATCCTGGAGGCTGCACCCGTCAGGGACATTTCCAAAGCAAGTGTTTTCGATGCTTATGTGCTTCCCAAGCTGTATGTGAAGCTGCATTACTGTGTGAGTTGTGCCATTCACAGCAAGGTAGTCAGGAATGGATCTCGTGAAGCCCGGAAGGACCGGACATCCCCACCTCGTTTTAGACCTGTTGGTGCTGCCCCACTACCTCCACCAAAGCCCATGTAAGGAACTGCATCCTTAATGAGTGAAGAAAAGCTATCTTCTGGAAAAAAATAAAATGGAAATTATAACAATAATAATAATAATAATAAAAGAAACTCTGTTCATCTGCAAGATGAATTCACAAAAGAGCTGTGAGAGCTTGAAGTCAATTGCTGATGAAGTCTTGGGATCAGAGCATACTGCCCTGAGGATGGAATGGCTAAATGGAGACCCAAACACTGATGAGGAGTTGGCTAAGCCGAGCCCTGACGAGGAAATAGCATAGGCCAGTGCCTGGAATGAGACAGGGCCCCCGCATGGCTTGGAGGAGGTGGGCAAGGGGCTAGTGAGTGGGCTGGAGCAGGTGGTGGACACCTCATGGACCATGATAGGGGTTTGGGCCCCGAAGCAAGAGGAAGTCACCAAAGCGCGTTAAGCAGACGTAATAATTTTCTTTTTATAAACAATCACAGAGGCTGCTGTCCAGAGAACAGAGAGGACAAGAGCAAATACACTGGAAGTGGTGGGGGAAATGTTGATGTTGTCCAGGTAACTATGGCCTGGACTGGAGAGAAGTGGACAGATCCTAGAGAGATTTCAGAGGTTTCATGGACTGGACTTGTGGATCATATATGAGAAATGGGGAAGAGAAATAATCAAGCTTGATTTATGAAAGTGTGACAGCCAATTAGGACTCAGGTTTTATCTGAGAAGATCGATACAAGCTTTTTATTGGTCTCTTCTCTCATGATGACCCATAAGAGAGGGGGTCAGCCTTTCTCTCTCCTTTTCTCCTGCTCTCCCTCTCTCATGGATCATTCAGAGCCTAATACTTCTGTTTCTACACAACTGGCATATAGTAAGCCCCCAGTAAATGGATGAGGCATAAGCCAAAGATCAAAAACTGTGTGAATCAAATTCTGTCTCCTCAATCCCTTTGTTTTAACAGGTCAGTTTACCTGAAACAATTGAAATTTAGCAAAGGCCAAGAAGACAGTGATATGAGAAGACTCATTTAAATTCTTTAAAATTCTTTTTATTTTGAATTGGCATCAAAGAGTTATGAAAATAGAACAAAGAATTTTGCTATGAACTCTTCAATCAACTTCACGAATCATTAACATTTTACCATGTTTGCTTTATTACACTCCTCCCCTGATGGAGATGGAGAGAAGAGATTTGGAATTTCTCTGAGCCTGTTAATTGCAGACATCAAGACCCTTTACCTCTAAGTACTTACGTGTGTGTTTCTTCAGAACAATGATTTTCCTTACATAACCACAGTACAGTTATTTAATTCAGGAAATTTAACCTTATGCAACACTGTTATCTAATATGTAGTCTATATTCAGTCTTCATTATTGTCCCAATAATGTCATTTATGGCACTTTTTTCCCTCCTGATTCAAGATCTAATCTCAGATGCATTTCATATTGTTTTTATAGTCTTCTTTAACCTAGAATGGTTCCTTAGTCTGTCTTTGACTTTTAAGACATTGATACTTTAGGAAACGGGACAGTTGTCTGGTAGAACATGCCTCAGATTGGCTTTCTCTGGTTTGCTCAGGGTTGGGTGCAGGTTGTGCATTTTGGTTCGAATGCTGCATGATGACATCATGCCCACTGCAGAGCAACTGCCATCACAGGAAAGGATGCTGTGGGCTAGACACCTCTCATGGTGGGGTGGTAACCTTGACCATCCAGTTGAGGTGGTGTCATCTGGGTTACTTTGCTCTGAAGTTACTATTTCCTCTTTATAATTAATAGGATGCTTATCTATTTGTTAACACCTGCACAGACATCTTTAAATGTTGCTAAGTCTTGTTTCCATGTTCTTGTTTAAAGAACCATACTTCCTCTTCTTTCTCCGCAGTGTTTTAGAGCACTTTGCTGCAAGGGACCACCACCTGCACGACCAGAATATGACCTGGTTTGCATAGGCCTCACCGGTTCCGGCAAGACTAGTCTGTTGTCGAAACTCTGCAGTGAAAGTCCCGAGAACGTCGTATCAACCACAGGTAGGTTCTGTGCCAGGTACCAGGCCCTCTCTCCTTCCTATCCTGGCCTTTCCAGCTTCTTGTGTTATTTATGTGGCCCATGTCCCCACTTCCATTCTAGTTCAATACTTCTGTCAGTGTATTTATTTCCATGTACCTCTTTTCCAAAAAAGATATGAAGAGGGCTTAATAGCATTGCATCACAGTGTTCTGTATCCCTCTTGCTGAGCATTTCAGTGGTGCAGAATAAATCAGGCTCAGTAAAATATTAATCCAAACTAATTCTGAAGACTGGAACTCTGGTCCTCTTATGGTGAATTTATCTCAGGCCCTCGCAGGGCTGTCCTCCCTTGAATCGTCGCTTTGTCCTGCTTTTGTTGGTCATGTACTCCCTACGTAGCCTCACGACAGAGTCTGAATTTTCTCTCTGTAACCATTTTTCACCGGGAGGATAAGCAGTGCAGGGGGCCTTTGATCAGTGTTCCCATATTGTTTTCTGACTTACAGAACAGTCAGTCTAGGTTAGAGTTCCTCAGTCATTTCCCTCTCAGAGGATGTTGGCGATGTGCAGGCACAGTTTAGCTGTCACAACTGGGAGAGGGGCTACTGACCTCGAGTGGGTAAAGGCCAGTGCCTTCTGCACACCCTGCAGTGCACAGGGAGCCCCCACCACAAAGAACCCTCCTGCTCCAAAGGGTATCAGTGCCAAAGTTGAGAGCTTTGTCACTCCCCAAATGCTTCCACTTTCTCTTCTGACAGAGGAACAGGAAAGAAGGGTATAAATTAGAGATGATAAACGGAAGAACAATTGTAGGAGATAAAGAATAGAGCTGCTGTGGGAGGAGATCTAGAACTGACAGGGAAGGATAGGGCGAGAAGTTGGCTGGGAAAGTTGAAGAGCTGCTGTTCATTCAGCTGGATTTTTGAGAACCTACTATGTACTCTGGGGATGAGCAATGATTCTAGCACTGCAAGAGACCCAGTCTGCTGGCCAAGTAGATGCTAATTCATGTATAGAAACTTCCAGTGGAGTGGGTCTGGTCAGTGCTGCCTGGCTGGGGAAGGGAAGGATGCTTGAAGAGTCTTTCTTCTTTGGATCCAAAGTTGGCAAGCCAGGGAGATGAGCAGGAACAGAGTGGGAGGTGGAGAAGAAAAAATTGGGGGGCAGGGGGAAAGCTTGTGTGAAGGCAAAAACTAAAATGGGACCTCTCAGAAACCCCATGGCTTCCTGCATGGCTGCCGTGTGTGTTTAATAGAGTGCTGGGGGCTAATCCTAGAGAGGCTGTGGCCACCTTCTGGCTAACTTCTTATACCATGCTCAGAAATTCGAGCTTTACTTGTAGACAGTGCAGAGACATTCAGATGTTTTAAGCAAGGAAACTGCATGATGAGCTGGATCAAGCTGGCCATGACGTGGAGGATAAATTATGAAGAGCACTGATGAGAGGCAGAGGTAGGAGATGATTGTAAATGGTGCCACACATGTGCTGGAGACCTTAGCTCAGCAGGAGTGGGAAGAATGGAGCGGAGGGGATAAATAGGATACAACATCTGAGGGCTAGAATCAACAGGGCTCGGTGACCAGTTGGGTTTAGAGGGTGAAAAAAAGAAGCTGAGAATGACTCATTCTTGGCTTTGGTGGTGGGTGGATGATGAAATTGTTGACCCAAGTGTCCTAACAAGTCAGAAAAATATTGATAATCAAGAGTCTGACATCAGTGCAGTTCACGTTTTGCTACCAGCTAAGAAAAAAAAAAAGTGCAGGTTTTGAGAACTTTTCAGATCTTGGAATAATAGACAGGAAACTGGAGTTGTAAAGAAACAGACTCAGCTTTATTAGAGGGTGAGGGAGAGAGTGAGAGATTGGTAATGAGTTGTGAGCCCACAGAGAGAATGAGCAGAGAGCTGGAGAGCAACCTCTGTGCACCGAACCAGGCCAGTCACCTTCTTCTTCCCTCAGAACAGAGTTCTCCCTCCTCTCTCCACTGGATGTGGTCCATATTTCTACCGTTCAGTACCTGTCATGCTGCTTTGTTCCCACGTCTACTCCCCCATTCTGGGCTGCAGGCTCCTAAGGGCAGATAGAGCATTTTACACGGTCACAAGATTTAGGCATAGGTACAGATATTTGTGAAGTGAATAAACAAATGATAGTAAATTGAATCTGCATGATATTTTTACATAAAGTATCATCTGTGAGCTTCCTAGCCATCTTCTGTGACAGAAAAGAATCTTCATATCCTGTTTTTACCTCTTATCATCTTAAGATACAAGAGGGTAGTGATATGGCCATTGTTACACAGTCAATGACAGTCACATGCCAGGAGAGATTTTCCAATAACATTTCATGGTATCTAAGGCTTAGTATCTGATCTGAGTATGTACTTGCTGGTTTTCTGAAACTGTGGATAGCTTTTGAGTAATGTTCCTCAAACTTAAACAAACTTTATTAGCTTAATAATTGTTTCCAAGCCAAGTAACCTCCAATATAAGTGCAAGAGTAACACAAAGTATACTTCTCTTTATCTGAGTTATCATCTAGCCCTACTGCTAATTGTTTTGCTTTTCTATTATAATGTGAAATAATTATCTGTAAATATTTTTATAATGTACTCATAAAGTATAATATGTGTTTTATATTTGTTTTTATTTTTTAAAATAACGTTTTCCTTTTGCTGGAACCAATGATAACATTGTGTGCTAGTTGACTTTCTGGTGAGTTAGATATTAAGTTGGCTAACGTCTTGGATATCAAACTTCTATGAGTTGCAATTATTCTGAACTTGGCAGAGTGCCTTTTTGGAGGCCTCTTTGGAGGTCCTTGCCATCAGGAAGTTTACACTGGGTTTGGAAGATAAGTTTTCTAGTGATAAAATGGTTCACATTTATTGAATGTTTATTATATGCCAGGCTCTGTGCTAAGACAGAATATGATATGGGCTATACTTGACAGTATAAAATGAAAGTGAAAAGTGATCATTTCTAACCTAGGAGATCAAAGAAGGCTAATCAAATATTACATTTGAATAAGGCCTCTTATGATAGGGAAGATCTGAGTAATAGGGAGAGGGGTGTGAGAATCAAAAGCATAGGTGATTCAGAGAAAAGTTAGTGGTCTTTATGCACAAGATGCAGCATTGTATGAAGTGTTGGGATCCAAGGCCAGAGACTAGAGAAGTTGCTGGTAGAGGCCTGTGACATTAGAGATGATCCAGCAGGCAAAGTAGTTACTTGAGATGGAGAGTTAAGAGTCACATGTAATTTTATTGATACTGTAAAATGTGATAATTATATTAGGTAATATAAAGAAAGGGAAAAGAATCAATTATGACTCAAGTTTCTAACTTGGTGTTTGAGTGAATTGTAAAAAGAAGTAGGGAAAACACGACAGATAGTTTTAAGATAAAAAGAATAAGGTTAGTTTGGGGTTTACTAATTTTGAGGTATCAGCATGACATCCAACAGTGATCAAATAATTAAAAAAATAGACTAGGGAGATTTTAGAACTACAGATCCAGATTGAAGAGGCAATTTTAATTGTGGATTTGGATGAGATCATACAGAAAGAATGGATAGAGACAGGCAAGAAGGTTGCTAAGCACCAACTATATTTCATTCACCTATTGCATATTTGTTGACTGCATACTGTGCAACTGGCCCTGATTCAGGTACTGAGCATGATCAGTTATCAAAACAGATAAACATCCCTGCCCTTATATTTTATGTATCTTATTATGTATTATGTATCTGATGAGGAATCTATAAGCCAGGCAATTTTGTGCAATATCATATAAGTTCAGTACGGTCAAGAAGTAAAAAGAACCAACAATATAAACCTAAGTCTAAAAAATGAGAAGGGTGTGATCATTAATGACCAATGCTAGTGATATTGCCAATTATCAGTGACGAGTCCTGCTTCCTCACATGCTGAAGTATAACATTAGAGAAGCATGCCAAGGCAAGCATATAAAGCAGGGTTTATCTTAAAAGGGGTAACAGTGGTTCACAGCTGTAATCCCAGAGGCTCAGGAGGCTGACACAGGAGGATCCCGAGTTCAAAGCCAGCCTCAGAAAAAAGCAAGGCGCTAAGCGACTCCGTGAGATCCTGTCTCTAAATAAAATGCAAACCAGGGCTGGGAATGTGGCTCAGTGGTCGAGTGCCCCCAAATTAAATCCCCGGCACCCCCAAAAAATAAATAAGTAAAATCACATAAACTTTTCTCAGGAGGGAGAAGGGGCCCATAGGTGGTATTCTGGTATCTCAAGAAGTGAGGGTGTTCTGCCATTTTTTTTTTTTTTTTAATGTCCTAGGCTTCCTTTGTCTCCTGCTCTCTTTCCCTTATCTTTCTCCTTCCTGTATACTTGACTAGGCCCAGGAGATGCTCAGGTGGGATGGCCAAAAGGTAAGAAGCAGATGGATAGAAGGAAGGGCCAGATGGAACAACCCAGGACACATTAATTAACAATTTTTATAACTTCCTGTAGGGAAGGAGAATTCCTGGGACAGGTTACCTTAGCAACAGGTTGGAGCAGGGCCGGTTATCTTGATAAGGGTGGAGGAAGAGCTCTGGAGGCATTTCAATCCCCAGGGGACAGTCTCTAACTTCTCAGACTTAAATTGGCCTCCTTAATCTGACCTGACTTGATTTACCTATCTATACTTATGGCCTGTCTAATTCTGCCTTCAGTAGAACATTTTCAGTAGATTGTTGGGGATAGAAACCAACCTCAGGAATGAGGAGATAATGAGTAAGTAAAGGGAATGAGCTATAAACTATCATTTTCATTCCTTGGTCCTTTGGCTAAGATTGCATATAGACTCTTCTTTCAAGAAGAGAGACAAAATAAAAAATAAAAAGAGAAAGAGAGAAAGAAAGCAATGTTAAAAGAATTTATTTTTATAAGGAAAGGTTATCATGTGAGCATGAGACAGAGGCATAAAGGTGGTTGCCTGGTGAGAAGTAAAGACAGAAGATGCTCAGGAGAGGGCGGTGCATGCAAGAATCAGTAAGGATTCTGGT